TGATCCCTTTTTTTTGTGAATGTGGAGCAGAGTTCTACTGCAGACAGCAAAGAGAATGTGCAGGAGGTTTCCCTCCCCCTTCAATAACTTTCTCTGATACCCCTGCTCTGGTTCTCTAGCAGAAACACCTGCTATTTTTAGATGTAATATTTGCTGATAAAAAAGCTCCACTGTGAGGGTACAGTCCCATGATGGGCTTGAACTGAACAACTTGGCTGCCACAGAAAGGGAGAAGTTTTCTATCTTTCTCCTTCTACCCCATCCTCCCTGATTTTCCTCCTGCCGTGTGCTCCCATCTGTGCAGTGCAGCTTCATTTCCCCGTCCTGATTGCAAGATAAAATGATTCAGCTTATTAACTTGGCCATTTGAGCCAGTTCAAGGCACGATGCAGCCAGGCAAGTGTGGGAGATGGAACAAAATAAGATCTGGGAGGGGTGGAAGCAAACCTGCCCCTTGCACCCGGGCTGAGCTCATGTGAGCCAAGGTCCTGTTGCACCAGGAAACCACAACCAAATGAAGACAGGCTGAAAAGAAACAAAATTATGGGATGGGCACAGCAGATCTGCAAGCTGCCTTCCTATGCAAAGAGCTTGCACGAGCTCAGGGGCACTAGAAAAGTCATTGGAGGAGAGATGTAATAAGAGATTTCCACCAAAATCTCTCCTTTCACTGCCTTGGTGTCTTCTTGGTCCTCAAAGTACCTGAGGGCAGCAAGCATGCAATACCTGGAGAATTTTTCAAAGAGTACTCAGAAAGGTCAAAAGACATCAGCTGCTCCCACAAAAGGCTTCATCCAAACTGCCCAGGACAGCCCAGAGAGGAATTTCCCTCCAAGGAGCAGCTGGGTTTGCTTATGAGGTGGACTTTGATTATGTTCCAGTGAATCCTTTTGGCCCTTGGAGAGTGGAGGTGGATCAGGGACAGCCTGATCCCAGTAGGCTTGGAGAGGAGATCTGAGACAGGGGAGCCAGGATTGCACTCACAGGGGCAGACACTGAAAGCAGAAGAAAAGAGATTTTTCTTCGTTTTGTGGTGAATAGGAATGCCATCCTCCCCATGGCCACTGTTCAATTGCCCACATTTGGGGAAAGCACAGGGATCAGCACAGAGAGAGGCCAAGGGATGGGGCTCACCTTGAAAAAACACCTCCATGGTTTTAGAGCTCTCCTGCCAGGCTGGTATCACTACAGTCTCTACTGACATCTTCTCTTCTGGGCCAGGCTAACACATATCCTGAACAAAACTTGGAATTCCTGCCCAGCAAGGGGGGCTGGAGGGCTATGGGGAGGCAGAACAGGGAGAAAATGAGTGATTTGCACCCAAATAAGGAGAGACAACAACAATGGGGTAAAAAAAAAAAAAAAAAAAAATCAAGAACTGGTTCCGGAGGAGCCAGAAGTGAAGCTGCAGCTGTGGACACCAGATGTTACTTGTGCACTGAGGCATGAAGGAGGCCACAAACACACCAGTGCTCACCACTGAGTGCAGAATATTCCTCTTTCTGCCTCCTGCCAGGGCACTCCACCCTCCCTGAAGCTAACAGGTTCTGCTGCCTCGTGTGTGCACAAGGAGATGGAGCCTGGTGAACCCTCCATCTGAACCAACAAAGCTGTACCTAAATTCTTGCCCTGATTCTGCTCGTCTCCTGTCCACCTTGATGTTAGGAAAACCACCTGCTCTCTTCTGTAAAGGGGGGAGGATGGCATTTTTGTCTAGCTCCTCTGAGCATGGAGAGAGGGCTTTTTACAAACAGCGAGTGCCATAATGATGGCCTTGAACACAGACTGCACAGCAGCTTGCTGGATGAAAGTTCTAATCACAGCAAATATTGTGTTGAACTTAAAAGCCCTGCAACTTTATTAATTTTCCTGGTTTACAATTGTAAAGCTCTCTCTAACAGCAACAGATAATAAATAAATCAGCAGTGTTCCTAATCAGGGGTTGGATCTCAAAGCCTCTCCAAGGAAGAGCTTCCCTAAGACACAAATCCCTCAGCCACGCTCTGCAGTGTCTGCACTGCTGCCTCTCCAAGGCTCTGACTCAGCATCTCCTCTCCCCTTCCCTGCCACTCTTCCAACCCCAGGGACTGTCCCTGGTGCCAGACGGCTCCAGAGCAGCACCAGAGCAGTGCCCTCACAGCCCTGTCGTGGTCAGGGCTCAGCTGGGGCTGACCTGGGGGTCTCAGAGAGGGGCTGTGCTTGGTGGCAGAGTCCTTCACACCAGTTGCCCCAAGAGAGGAAACAAAGCCACAGCCAGTCCTCCCCCAGACCCCCATGGAAGACACAGCTCCAAAGACCTCACCATTCCCTCTGCTGTGCTGTGCAGCCTTCCCTGGGGTTGCTATAATTAAGGATCTTATCAAAGATCTGCTTATATAACCATGGTGATTAGTGAAGTATAGGCATGCAAGTAGATTAGATGAGGTTACCAGCCACAGCTCTGTTCTAATGTACACGGGCTGCCTTCTCAGATTAATTTTTTGACATTACATCTTAAATTGGTTCTTTTTTCTCACAGTTGTGCCTTGTTCCAAGAGGTGTCAAGCAGAGAGCTGGCAAAATTGTTCAAAGGGCTTGCTGGCTGTGGGTCAGTAATTATCCCTGCATATGCACTGTTAGCAAAATCCTTTTAACCTGAGAAACCAAGTCCTGTGCACTGGCCTGGAACTCCAGGTACCTCTTTAGCACATAGTTCTGGCCACTGGCAACAACAAAGTGCTATTAAAGTGAATGCTTCAAGTACTTCATGTACTGACCCCCTGGATATGTTTCTGTGTTTGTTTTAATCTTTTTTTTTTCTGTATCCAAGCATTGCTTTCTTTTGCTTCACAATTTTTTTTTGGTGCCTTTCCTCCTAGCTCTGCCTCTCTTAAAACCACCTGCTTCCCTCCTCATTTTTCCTCTCAGCCCTTTTATCTCCAAACCAGATCTGGGTGTCACCATTTTGTCCTGGGTTGATACCCAGTGATGACAGTGAGCCTTAAGGAGACAGAGCAAAACAGAGGAGGGGTTGTGGCAGCATTTAACCCAATAGATCTGAGCAATTTGGGGCAGGGAGTAACCTGCAGTAAATCACTAACCTGAGATTTATAGATAGGTACAAAAAAAAAAAGAAACATGGAAAAAGACTGGCTGCTGTTACCATGCTAGGCAGAGTTCCCTTCCCCAAACAACACAGCGTGTTTCAAATATTGAAAACGTGTTTTGATTCCCCAGGAAAAAATGTATTTTGACATATTCCAGCTGAAGGCTTTAACAAAAACGTTGAAGCAAAAACAGTGCAAGTTTGTTGTAAGGAGCAGGGAGCAGCAGGGAGCAGGTGAGCTTCACGTGGCTAAAGAACACAGAAAGAACCTGGCAGGACAGGGAGCAGTGTCAGGAGGACTGTCCCTGTCCTGAGACAGGTCACAGCTCAAACCAAATCAGGAATTGCAGGAGGTGTCAGGTTGGAACCTGATCTAGTAGAAGGTGTCCTTGCACATGGCAGGGGCTTGGAATGAGATGATCTTTAAGGTCCCTTCCACCCCATTCCGTGATTCTGTGAATAGTCCAACTGGAGCTGTGAGCTCTATGGTGTGTACTTGCTACAGCTTCAGGGAATTGCAGAATATCTGAGATTCATTCTACTTGTCTCATATTTAGTACTCAGTCTCATTTTCTGAATCAGAAGAATGAGTAAGTAATTCCCTGATGTGGTTTCCAGTGATATACAGTATTGGAATCTTCCATATGCATTGTCACTCCACTGCAAAAATTTCAGTTCGCTGGGTTCAGACATGCAGCTTTTAGCCTGTAACTCCATGAGACCTCCCAAAACAACGACCTAAAAGAATTTGGTTTTACTCTTGACTCTGGTTTTAACTCCAAAGCATGGTTTACTTTATTTTTTTTTAACCGTTGCAGCACGTGCACGCACACCCCGCCACCTTTGAGCAAATCCCTTCATTCCGCATTTGGAAGTCACAACCTCCCGAACAGCTCCGTCCTCTCAGCTCCTGCCGGGGACGGGACTCGAACCTGCGGCTTTGAGGTTGCTCTCCGGCCCCGCCCCGCCACCCCTGCGCGCACGCCGTGGCGACCCCTCGTGAGGCGCAGGCCCCGCCTCCTCTCCCCCCCTTTTCCCTCAGCGCGGCGTTTCCGGCGCGGTCGCTGTGACGCGGCGGCGGCGCCGGGGCGGTCCGGCGGGCGGGCGGGCGGTGGGAGATGGCGGAGTACCTGGCCTCCATCTTCGGCACCGAGAAGGACAAGTGAGTGGCCCCATTGCCCCGCTTCCCGCGCCGCTCCCGCGGCTCCCGTACCCCTGGGAGGGAGGGGGGAAGCTCGACGGGAGGCCGGAGGCCCGTAGCGGGTTGCGCGGGGACGCGGCCTGTTCCGATCGCGGCGGTCAGCCCTGCCTCCCTTCTCCCTGCCCCTCCTTCCCTGCGGGGGGACCCCCGGCCCGTTTCGCCCATTTCTTCCACTCCCGCCTCGGGGGCGCCGCCCGGGACCACGTCCCCCGCCTTTCCCATCCCGCTGGAACGCGGCGGGAAGAGGGAAGCAAGAGGCGGCCGCGCTCCCCGTCCCCTTCCCCCCCCCCCCCCCCGCCATTGCCTCCCTCAGGCCCTTCCCCCCCCCCCCCCCTCCCCCAGGGGCGCGCGCGCCCGGCGGCGCGTGGGTCTCGCGCGTTCCCGCGCGCGCGCCCGCCTGCCCCGCCCACGCGCTTCCCCTTCCCCCCTTTCCCCCCTCCCGGGCCGGGGCCGTTCTCGGGCACTCCCTCCCCCCCCACCCCTTTTTCCTTTTCCTTCTCTTCCTCCTCTCCCACCCCTCCCCTCCCCCGGCCGCCATGAGGGTGTGCCCGCGCCTCGTGGCGCGCTGCCGCCCTCCCCCGTCCTCCCTCCGCCCTTCCCCCCGCGGCTGCGCCTTCCTGTCGGGGCCGCTGGGTGCCGGAGCTTCCCGCCGCCTCCTGCCAGAAAGCGCCTCCTCCTCCTCCTGTTCCCCTTTTGTTCGTGTCCCTGAGCCTCGCAGCAGCCTGAGAGCTCCCGCTCTGCTGCAAGGACAGCGACTGGTTATTTCTCCCCCCTCCCCAGGGTGCGGAGGATTTCCCCGACTGCTGCATCCTGATCCTACAGGCTTCTGCCTGCAGCCTTCCACGCGTCCGGGAACGCCTCTAGTTTCTCTGGTTGTTGGAAGCACACACACAAAACCCTCCTAACGAAAATTTGGTCACCATCGGCCTGACCAAACCGGCGTGTTTTTCCACTCGTAAAAATGAAAAGGGGGCATCGATGTGCTGCTGGACTAAATTACTCTTGTCAGCCCCTGGCCGTGGGGCTTCTGCTCTGCTCTGTAGTGCTGCCATTCCAGGAAAGCAGTGTCGGCAGCCTCTCTTTTGAGCTCTGTTACTGTAGCATCCTTTCACACAAAGGAGATACATAGGAATTTAATGCATTACAGTTTCAGAGATTTAATCAGGCATGAAATTCCTGTGCAGCTCTTGTTTTCTGTTAAAAAAAGCAAACGGAACCTTCCAGAAGGTGCTGAAGTTGGAGGCACTACTGGAAATTTTGTAGTTAGGTATTTCTTTTTGTTTCAGGTTAGAGTTCAGAAAAGACAGTAAGTATTTTATACTGCTAAGTGTTTGTTTTCAAAAACATAATAAAGAGTGAGCATGTTGCAATTTTACAGTAGAATGCTTTGCTAGAGATCAGATGTGCTTTAGTACTTTAATAATTCTCCCCTCCATGAGTTGATGTTGGTTACCTAGGGTTGTGGAAAAGAATTGGTGTTAATTATGGGAATAATAATTTTTCTTCCAGGAGAATTCTGATATTTCACTTATCCATATATAGGCCATAATAGTTTTCTTGCCCTTCAGAATTTTGCATTTCCCAGTCAAGGTAACTAAGCTCGTTGTGGTTTTCTTTCATCATTCTATGTGAATTACATCTTTTTGTGGGAGTTCTAGTAGTATTTCTAAACCCGGATCATTATCAAGATGCCATGAGAGGGATCATTCAAGAAAAGCTTGTGGTTTAAAACAAAAAGCAGCTTACTCTTAAAATCATTAATTATATTCATGGAAATGGCTTTACTAAATGAATTAATGTTGCTTATGTGTATTCTTTCTGTAACATGGTTTTCTCTTCCCTGAATTATTTGGGATACTGTGTTGGTAGCAGCCTGAGCTACCCTTCGAGTATAACTTAAACAGGTGGTTTATAAAACATGAGAGAGGTACAACTGTGTCAGTTTTAAAGCAGATTTTATTGCCTGGACCCGGGGCTGCATCAACTCGGCCGCAGAGCTCCCAGTGTAAATGTTCAGACCTCTTTTCTTGTTATTTTCCATCCTATCACCCACTGAAACTGATGTAAAGACAAGAATGGAGAAGCGGAAGAGTAGAACAGAGATCACTTCTGTGTGGTGCATCATGAAACCACTTTGGGGGAAATTGGTCAGATACTGGCTGTAAATTAGGGGTAAAAGCAATGAATATGGACAGGTTTGTTGGAATGCTTTCCTGTACAGTTTTGATGTGGGTTTTTTTGTGTGTTACTTCTCCACATCAAGATAAAGACATTTAGGGCATATGCTTTTTTGCAAATTAGTGTTTTCTCTGCCAGTGTGTAACTACCTTATTCATTTTTTTTCTTGCAGAGTCAACTGCTCTTTTTATTTCAAAATTGGAGCTTGTCGCCATGGAGACAGATGTTCTCGGTTGCACAACAAACCAACATTTAGCCAGGTTTGTTTCCCCTTTTTTCTCTTTCTTGTGGAAGTATGTTCTTGCTTCTTTAAAACATAGATTCTCAGATACAAGTGAATAATTACCAAGCTCCAGATTAATTAGTTCAGTTTTAGCCCCAGTTTATCTGGGTCTTTGCTTTTTTGGGGGTATTCCATTTACTTCTCCCAGCATTTCTAATTATCTCCTGTCACCCTTAATGGCTGCAGGAAGCGATGCTGTTGTAAGCTTGCCTGTAGTAGAGACCAACCAGTGCTAACTTTCAGGTGAGTGTGCCTTCTCAGTGGTGTTCAGGCACTTAAACCATCCCAGAGTTTTTAAATCACAGACAATGGCAGCGCATTCCACCTGTCCCAGAGGTGGGAACTTCAATCTTTTATGTATATAGTAGAAGAAAACTAATTAATGAGTGAAAGTGGCTCATCTGTCATTACATTTGCTCTCTGACCCAGGCTCTTAAGTTTCTAGAGTGACTTGCATACTTCCTTTGAATTTGAATGTGGAAGAAATGATTTATTGAAAACAACTTGCCTGGTTGCTGAGGGTGAATTGTCAGTTGGCATGACAGATTATTTTATCTTTGGCTCAGTGAATATTGTTAAGACACGTGATGTGTGACTGCATATCTGCCAGAAATAAAAATAAATTTGAAAAGGTGCAGGGACTGGCACGGTTTTCACTATTGTTACTATGAGCTGTACAAAGTATTGAGTATTCACAAAGTACATTCCTGGAGAAATGTATGTTTCCCATCTTTCTATCAATGCTGATTGTCAAGGTACACAGATGAATTTCTTTGGGAACTTTGTACATGAGCAATAGTGCCTTTGAAAGTTATTGTGCTTTTTACTATAGCAGTTTCAACTGCAGTGGTTTTAACTACAGAGAAAAGTTTACATAACAGCAGAGCCTTCGGCAAGTTCATTTAATCTGCTTAAAAGTAGAGTTGATGAGAAATGTGGGCTGATACTGGTTTGGGAAGAAATTAGAGAGGGAAGTAGTATCCATGTGACTGGTTCAGAGCTGTGATCATCAAGTTAAACTGAGTGGGAAGGGGGACTTCCAGGGGAGAATGTCAAGGTTACTGGTGTATAGGGACTTCTGGTACTTAAGCAATAAAAACACCTCTTTGCTTCTGGGATTTTAAATTTTTTTAATGCAGATATTATATTTCAAAAGACTGTTGTCCATTTTCAAAACTATCCTGTGTTGCTGACCTGACCTACATGGAGCACAAGTTGAAGTGCAGTTGGTTATTTAGAGACCTAAATTTAGGTCATTGGCTATGAAAAAATATTTCTAAAGCAGAAAGTTTCCATAGTAGTTGTCTTTTAAGTTAAAAAAAAAAACAATTCAAAAACCTAACAAGCCTCCACGACCCTTACATCTTTTTTTACCAATAAGAGTTTGTGTGCAGCTGCAGCTTTCTGTCAGAGCAGCCTTTAGCTTTGCTTTAGACTCTGCTTAGCAGTGCCAGCTGAAGTAGGTCAGCAGGGCGCATCCCATTCATCCAGGGATGTCTGGGACTGCACAGCCTCATACCTGGCAGCTGTGCTGTGACATCGCCCAGGTCCCTGGCAGTGTGTGGAGTCTGCAGAAGTCTTTATTTGTGTGCAGGTTGACAATCAGCTGTGATAGAAAATAGAGCAGAGATCTTGCTAATGGGAAGTGACCAGCACAATGTTTTAACCTTGTGCAGCTCTTGCTGGTGCAGCCACTTCACAGAAGAGCTGTGTTAGGAAAGGTCACACAATCCGGGGTGATCGAATTACCCTCAATCAGCAGAAACACCCTAACGAGATGGCTGTTTCTGGCACTCTCCAGCTGTAGACTAAAGCATAGGTAGTTTAAACCTGGGCCATGGAAGCACAAAGCTTTGGTTGGTATGGCTGTACCCATAATAAAACAAGTGTGTGATTTTAAATGTGATGTTAGTTGTATTTTTTTTTTACATGTTAAAAGGGTAGCATCTGTAGGTGTGACATTGCTGGTCCTGTGACTTTAAGCTCTGAATTCTTACTTTGACTAATAATAATAATGTCTAAGCTAAAGTTACTTGGGGATTGCCATTCATACTGACTAACATTGAGCTTGTATTTTAAGTAATCAAATCTCAAATTTTGAGCTGCTTACAGTGATATGGACGTTTGGAATTTTTTTTGTAATATTAGTTTACTAACTTAAACATGGTTTGTTTTTTCAGACAACTTGATTTTAAGAAGAACGGTACAAATGTAAGGTTTCAAGTCTGCCTGGGCTAATTCTTCAAGTAAAAAGCAGAAGGGCTAAAAGGATATTGTCCTTATTTGAAGGATCGGAAACATGTGAACCTATGATGCTATTATATTATTTAAACAGAAATTCCACCAAGAAAATCCTGATGCACAAAACGAGATGTAGTGGTTGCCTAAAGGCCTTATGGTCTGGTGTAGCATTTTGGACACTGTGGCATTATGTATTACATGCTGTGCACATAACACTTATTTTTTTCCCCCTTGACTTGCAGTAGTGAATCTGGTCTCGAAAGTTTAGGCATCTCCAGAATACCTCGTGACATTTTAGGTTACTGGGCCTCACACCTCCCATTTTGAGGATAGCTGTTGAGACAAACGCAGCTCTTTCTTGGTGGTTAATTACAACTGTTTTCATAATATGATGGTCTGGATACAATTTTGGAAGATACTCTGCAAATACAAAAGGAAGTCTTAAGGATAAAATATGACTTTTAGCTGTTTGCAAACAAGTTGTCTCTTTGCAATTGTCTATTATATGCACAGCAGCCAGTAGAATTCCCCTTTTTATTTTTTTTCCCCGCAGACCATCTTGATTCAAAACATCTATCGTAACCCCCAAAACAGTGCACAGACGGCTGACGGCTCACACTGTAAGTCCCACAGTTGGAGAAATTTTTTTAAAGAATGGTGTTAAAGAGCCCACTCCTAATTATGAGAAAATAATGTTGGCTTCTGAGCTGCTGACATAAAGCTGTTGCAAACAGGACAAGTGACGGAACTCTTCTTGCGCACAGATCAAGAATTTGTGGAATGTGTGCAATTCTGAGTGCAGAAAGGACTGCACAAATTGGACTTGATGCAGATTCCCTTTTGTGTTGCAAAGTGAAACTTGGTTACTTAGTAACACTGCATTCTTTTGAAAGGGTTAAACTGCAGACATTTCTCAAATTCTTGATTTAACACCCCCCCCAAAAAAAAAAAATAGGTATATACGTGATGTACGGTAAGTCCCAAAACTGGGTTTTCTTTCATCTTAACTTTTTTAGGAAAATGGAGATTTCATGTTATGCTCTAATTATTGTATTACTTCCTTTCCTGGGATTTTGCTCTTAAGAAGCCATTCAGTAATACCAAATTCAAGTTAATATGCTTGTAATGTGACTGTTGTGTTTGGATACTACTTATTTTCAGAGCTGTCTGAAATAATGCAAAACCCCCTCTATAGTAATATTGGTGAATGGAGTGAAATTAAGAATACAATAATGGAGTATCATGAGATCTCTATTACTTTACAGTGTTAGGTTGATATAGAAAGGTCACCAGCTAAGTGCAAGTTCTCCTGCTTGGGAGAGAATAACCACCTCTCTTTCAGCACAGACTCGGCTAAAGCGACCCTAAAGGAAACCAGTTTCTTGTTAAAATTATTTTCCATAATATAAAGTTGTTGCGTTTTGTATTTCAGACCATTGCCCTCTTGAACATTTACCGTAACCCTCAAAACTCTTCCCAGTCTGCTGACGGTTTGCGCTGTAAGTTCATACAAGTTCCTTCACTGGTTCCCTGGGCTTGATTGTCAGAGCTCAGTGTCGACTTAAGCTGGTCTGCCATTTTAGTTTAACAGATCAAACTGACCACGTTTCGTTACATGTGTTTAAAACAAACACAAACAAAAAAAAAAAAAAACCACCCAAATTTTTTTGTCCCACTACCTTCCTCCCAACTCCCAAAATTATGAGGGGAATCTGAATAACAACTATTAAATCCAAAAGGCTTGAAATTGTATTCCCCCTGTGAAGCAGTGTTGGTTGCACTGCTTTCTTCCTGTCACCTCTCTCCCTGCCAGTTGCCTGCATCCTAGGAATGGTTTTCTGTATGTTTTGTGTTATCCATTAGGTTCCACTGTCAAAAAGAGCAGGACAGTGACACATTGACTTCATCCAGAACAAATGTCCTGCTGTGTAAATGTTAAGAGAACTTGAACTGAAACTTTTCAGACTGCATGCATAAATTTGTCCTAGGTTAATGCAGCTTCCATTTAGGGAGTGCACTTTGGAAGAACACACCATGACTGACTAACCCCTTCTGGCAGCTGTCCTTTTTGGATGGGTGCATGCTTAAAATTCTTTCCATGCTTTGAAAATTCAAATTCCAATGCCATTTGGCATATTTACCTAAGACAAATACGTTTTTTAAAATACTTTTGAGAAGGGGAAGGCATTTGGGTATGGTCATGAAGTAATTTAATGACTCCTCCTGAGATACAAATGGGCATAAGCAAACACCTCCTGTGAGACTGGCAGCAGTTAATGCCCAGGATTGTTGATTGGTGATTAACTGACTTATGATTGTAATTGAATCATCAATATTAGAATAAGATTTAAAAAAAAAAAAAAGTTTTAGAACCAAAGAAAGGGTCGGTGTTCTTTTCTAACTAATATTTCTTGTTGAAGTGAGTATTGACTGTGTGGTAATAAAGCTTTGTTTGGCTATCCTTTATTTTTTTCCTTTTTTTCTGTTGGTTTATAGACTAGTTCAGATTAGTTACCAGCATTTGATTACAAGTGCTTTGTGAATCAGCCACTAACTTAAAAGTCAACACTGTCTCTTGCTTCCAAAAGGAATAATGGCTCGATTATGTAATTTGTGTTTTTGTCACACAATCAAGCTGGACATGTAAATGAGCTGTGTCATTTTTCTAGATGCTTGACCAGTTCCATTGGTTTGTAGGCTCTCTCCTTGCAGATGCTTAAAGTAGTTAACACTGTTTCAAAACATTCCCAGTTGGGTGTTTCCACTCTCTCCCTGAACTCTCAATGCGCTGGTAACTAATTTGCACAGAGTTACAGCAGTTTGGTCTGTGGAGCTGTTTAGTTTTACAGCTGCAAGAGTCCTGCACAGATCCTCCAGTGTTGTAAATGCTGGTATCCAACTCTAGTTTGTCGTGACAAGCGAGTAGCTGTGTGCCAGAGCCTGACTGTACCTCCTGGGGTAGAGCTGGAGCTCTGCAAGCAGTAGGTTTGCTGAAACTCCTGGCTCCTTGGTTTTTGATATTTGTCCCTACTTAAGTATTGCATGTATTTTAAATGGATAACTTGGGTAGCTATTTAATGCCTTGTCGTTGTTGCTTAACTGTCTTCCTTTCTATTGCCGTCGTAGAGGATTAACCTTAGTTTGGAACAGCAGTAGTTTTCCTGAGTATTTTAATTAGTAATTGGGCTTTTCATGGTTCAGATACCAGTAGCCCTGGAATATGGATGTTTGTAAAGCCTGTGCTTATGTATGCTTCCCACTTCAGAAGGTTATTGAAGTAGTCATTAACTAACTGTTGCCTGTAATCTCCTAATTCGACAAAAAAATAGTTTTTAGCACTTGTCCATCTGGTAAAAAGTAGTTATTCCCACTAAGGCTCACAGAGCCCATGTCTGAAACCTTTAAAAAACAAAAAATCCTTAGGTGTTAGTAAGCTGTTATCAGTGGTGTTAGCAGAACCTTGGGAATATAGTTAAGTATTAAACTGCCTAGAATAACTGGCTTAATGTTTGATATTCCTTAATTTGCTATAACCATGAGGGAGAAGAAATTTCTTAAAATCAAACATGTCTTAAATGCATAAACATTGTTATCCCAAACTAGAAATCAAATGCCCCTTAGCCTCTTGTAGAGGTGAGCTGGGTGGAAGAACAGGAACTGCAGTTCCAGAGAGTGTGGCTGGTTAAAGTTAGAGCCTTTGAAGAAAAACGTGAAGTTTGTCCAAGTGATAATACTAGCCAAATTTTTTTTCATAGCAGCCTGAAAATGAATAAACTCAGCTTTATTGGCTCAGTTTCTTCTCTTTTACATTCTGTGAATTAAACCAGTCTGGTTTGTAATTTTCAACACTAGCATATTTTTTAGCATAAAATGCAGGGTTTGTTGTAAAACTGCTCCGCTTGGTCCTAATAAACCACTTAACTGCTGAAGAGCTAATCTAATGGCTTTAATGTATATAGCTTGTTTAAAGTGCTGTAGACTGAAAGAAATAAATGAAACTCGTTTTTATACTTTTAATGCTTTGAAAAGTAAGCCACACTTACGTTGGGTTTTGTAGCAGCAGGCAAGCAGCATTCGTTTTTGAAGTCCAGCTTGTGGCATGAAAATAATCTTAACTTGAATATAAGGCTGGCTTGCCTTGCACTGAAAGGTGTTCTGCAGGACTGCAGAAAAATGAAGTGACACTCAAACTTAAACTAGAAAATGGCTCTCTGTTGCAAAGCATTGAGGGCGCTGAGAAGAGTTGTCATTTCAATGACTGTTCTCAACAAATTTAAAAAAAAATTCTGGGCTGTTTTACATTGTGAGCTCTTAAATTTTAATGAATATGTTGGAGAAGTGGACATAAATTTCTGCCTTTAGGAAGAGGAATACTAAATTGTAATAATATCCTAAGGTTTGGAATTGTAACAAAGCACTTGCCTTCTGTTTAGGTAAAATTGTTGTTAGTTAGAGAGTGCTACTATACATTAAATTTAAAGTGATATTTAAAAGTAATTATTTTCCCCTTTAAATTTGTGGCATACAAGTTTGGGTCTGATTAAAACTTGCTTTGATTTGATAATATCAATGTAATGTTTTGACAGATATTTTGGGGACTCAAAGCTCTTCACACATCCTTATTTTGCAATATTCCTGTTAGTTAGCTCCATGCTATATGGTGTCTCTTATGCTCCAGACGGCCTCTCTAGATTGTTTTGTAGTTTGATCAAAATCTCCTCTTCCTCACTGGCAGGCTCTAATCGATCTGACTCTTTGACTTTTGCAGGTGCTGTGAGCGATGTTGAGATGCAGGAACATTATGATGAGTTCTTTGAGGTACGTAAAGGTGCCTTGCAGTGTCACTGGATTTGTCACCACAAATAAGTTTAATGGATGTAGTGTATAGCACAATTAGATGGATTCAAGAAAAAAGACTTATTTCATCAGGTGTTCATATAAAGCATACAATTTTGTATTAAATATTTCTTGGTGTCACCATTGGTTAGTTTGGCCTTAATTTGACTGCTTGAAAAGGCTTTATTTAACATCAGCAGCTTAAGTGATGTGGCATTTTGATTGTATAATCTCCTTTATAAATTTAAAGTTCTTTTAATTATTTGTATAGAAACAAAGTACCTGAAGCTAGCATCAGAGTTTCTGTGTTGTGTTGACAGTGTATCCTGTGCATTCTGTAAATGCTGTGTGTATTTTCCATAGGTTTTTATTGTATCTTAGTAGTGCTGTGTTTACAGATGGCCAAGCAAGTACTAATTTTAAACCCAAAACCAAAAAAAACTCAAGTGATCTTGCTGTTTTTTGCAAGGAAAGTCTTCTTTATACTTACTTAGAGTTAGAGGCAGTATTTCTGTACTTAGAAGTAATGTGTTGCAAACTTCTGGGTTGCTTTGTGCTTAGGAGGTCTTCACAGAAATGGAGGAGAAATACGGCGAAGTTGAGGAGATGAACGTTTGTGATAACCTTGGAGATCATCTAGTTGGAAATGTATACGTAAAGGTAGGCTGAAGAGATGCTCATGTAATCAAGAGGGGGGCTATTTACCGATTGAGAATTTTAAAAGCTACTGTGTGATGGTAATTTTATTTTGCTAGGAAAGCTCTTCACTGTATAAGCTCTTCCAGCTTCACAATTTAAAGGAGAAGAAAAATACTAAAGGAATAAAAAAAAAATTAATGAATTTTGATAAGCTTTCTTGATAATTACATAGATTTTAACTTTCAGAAAGATTAACACTGTTTCTTTCTTTTACATAAGCAGTCACCACTGCTGGACTGTTCAGTTGAGCAGGATTAGTTTGGGATTGGTTATAGCATCACACTGCTCTTTAAGCACATCAGTATGAGAGAGGTTTATGTGCCACAGGTGCATTAATTTTCTAACTTCCCAGTTAAACACAGGATCTGTGGCCAAGTTAGATTTGGCAGTAGCTGGGTGGTTCAAGGTGCAAACTGGAGCACTTAGATTTAACTTTTAAAAGTCATTGGTATCTCTTGAACAATGTACAAAGTTTTCACCTGCAGAAATTATACTCTGTGTTCACAGTGTGGGGGAGGTGTGAGAGAGTTTCTTTGAATATTTTGGCTGTACATTCCCTCAGCTGGAAAGTATTTTCACACCTGAAATTCTCGACTGCATAGGTCATAATCAGAAAAGTTGTTTTAAAAAATTAGCTGTGAAAAGGCATTTCAAATTTAAGTTTTACATTCATCGTAAAACAGGATCTGATTTTTGTAAATTCTCATTTAAATGAATGCGAGCTCCATATGTAAATCTCTTAAATGTTTGAAAAAAATGTATTACATCAGGACTGTTGTTGCTCCAGAAAGTATATATAAGCATTCTCTTGGTTTAAAGCTGCACTAAAAAAACCACAATATCTTATATTGACTAACATTCCCACTTGAGAGATCAAACAGAGCATAATGAAGAGGAAAATCAATGTTTTGATTAGCCCTTGAGTCCCAGCTAATGAAAAGCTGGCATATTGACCCTTGATTTGATGGACTGTCCAAGAAATCTGAAGTAGCTTCTAGCTTCATTACTAGCCCTGAGCCTCAGATATCACACAACTGATTTGATAGGAATCTTTTATCTTCTCCTTCCTCTGAAAACATTGATTTCCTTTTTAGTTCCGCCGTGAAGAAGATGCAGAGAAGGCCGTGATTGACCTGAACAATCGCTGGTTTAACGGGCAGCCCATCCATGCCGAGCTCTCCCCTGTGACTGACTTCAGAGAGGCCTGCTGCCGTCAATATGAGATGGGGTAAAGCAGGGGCTTCCTCTTGCCTTCACAGCCTGGGAGGTGTTTGCACAGCGGGGAGGCTGCTTGGGGGTGGGGTTTGTGTAGCTGAGTGCAGGAAGAAAACCACTTCAGGTACCTGTAGTGTGGAGGACCTGCCGTGAACCTCTTGACTTCTGCCATCTTTTGGGGATTTTCACCTAGAAGTGAGGTTTGGAGTAAATGATGCTTGTAATTTACTACGTTTAATATTAGAGGTCTTAGCAGATAATGTAGAGCTGGGAATTCTGACTGTGCCTCTTGAATTCTGTTTCAGAGAGTGTACACGAGGAGGTTTCTGCAACTTTATGCATTTGAAGCCCATTTCTCGAGAGTTGAGGCGCGAGTTGTATGGGCGGCGTCGTAAAAAGTAAGTTTGTTTTTAAACACTACTAAAACAAGTAATTTAAGGATCAGTTGCTGAAAAATCTGAAGGCAAATCTTTAAACTTGTGCCAAGTCCTCTTGTTTTTTCTGACGCACTTCTGGCACATGCCAAAGGGCATCAAGTCAAGCTGGCAAGTGGCCAGTTCAGAACAAAGGAGTAGGGCTCTAAAAATACAGTGCTTCCTGCTCTGCAGGGCTATGGATTCTGAAGATTGGTGTGGAAGGCAGGGTTCAAAGAGAACACTCACTGAGTTACTGAGTACATGGGCCCTACCTGCTCAGATCTCCAGACTGTGAAGTGTACAGGTGGACATAATTTGGGAGAAGTTGATTTATTCTTCTTCTGTTTTATTCTCTTCTAAATGTCTTTGCTCATGGCCTTTGTTAGATGCAGGCTATTTCGCCAATGGGCATTTTGGCAGCATCAGATTGGCAGCTTTCAGCATTATGTGCTGTCAAGCATATCTTTAAATTATGCTCCAACCCATAAGGACCCAACCTTATTTTCTTTTAACTGTTAAAGGTGAAATGTTATAGCCTGTATTGATTTCTTATTGTTAGTACCAACCAGTCACTGTATGGAGCTCGCTTAACTTCACTGTGTTTACCTTCTTGATAGGAATTCCCAGTAGGAGAAAGGAGAAGTAATTTTGCTTAATGGTAAAAAAAACCCCAAACATTTTATTATATATTAAATTATTAATTTAGTGAGGTACCTTGCAGAAAGGCTTTTATCACTGCTGTTACTACTGTGGTTCACTTGGAACTGGATTTAATCTGCTTGCATTTAAAACCTTGGTGTTTGGGATTGGCATATAAAATTTTGATCTTGCTTTTATATAGAGTGTGATTTTTTTGTAGATTTCTATCAATCAGAACAAGGAGCCTGGGATTGTGGATGTGTTTTTCCTGTAAACATCTCTAATTGGCAGTGTTTCAGGATCTGTGAGGATGAATTTAACTGAAAAATAAAATTGTGCTGCTTAACCACACGTATTTGTGGCTAATTAAATTTTTCAGATATTTGAATGCTTTATGAAAAAGACTAGGTGTGGTTTTTATTCTAGCCTTTTGGTCACCTATAAATCTGGAACTCTCAGATTCAGTAACACTGATTGGTAGTAGCTGTGATGGCAATATGTTCTGGCTGATTTTAGCTGCCTTTGTGAATTTACCAGCCTAAGAGGCAGGGAAGATGATTTGCCAGTGCTGATATCCTGGGGAGGTAGAAATCATGTAGAGGAACAACAACAGAGAACTGGCTTGTAATTGCAAATTAATGCAATTGATTTAATATGAGTGGACTTGGAAGCAGCTGTAGACTTTTGATGTGTGTTGCTAAGAGCTATTCCTGTCTGCCAAAGCAGGTGTCCCCTTCTTCTGCTTTAAATAACAGCAGTGTAACTGTGCCTTTCCTTAGGGTTTGCACATCCATTGTAAGAGGTGACTGCAGGGAACAGCCAGTTCTTGTACCCATTTGTGCTGACTTCCCAGTATGAAATTTGGGCAGTTTGTAAATAAACTGGGTTTTGCAGCCTAAGTGCCAATTAACCAATCCTTCTAATGACACGCTGCCTTTCTTCTCCTTCATCACTCCCATTCTTAATTATGTGTTCTGCTGTGTGGTACTGCAAATAAAATGCTGCCTGGGGTGAAACAATAATGTCCAAACTTTGTTTTGAAGGCATAGATCCAGGTCGAGGTCCCGTGAACGCCGGTCTAGATCCAGAGATCGCGGTCGTGGAGGTGGAGGAGGAGGAGGCGGCCGTGAGCGTGACAGGAGGCGGTCCAGAGATCGTGAACGATCCGGTCGATTCTGAGCCATGCCATTTTTACTGTATGTCTGCTAGAAAGTGTTGTAGTTTGACCAAACAAGTTCATAATGACATTTTTTTTAAAGATGGGCTTCTGAATAAAAAATTTGTAGTGATACAGTATTCTTTGTGTAACTTGTTTCTTGTGGGGGGAGTCTTTTTAACTGTCATTCCTCTATCTTGACAAATACAAAAATGGATTAAGTCTGCCTGAGGGAAAGGTGGTAAATGTATTGGAGGAGCGCCAGTTTTGGTTTGGGTTTTTTTTTAATTTTATTCGGGTATAATTTGAACTGTTGATGAAAATGTGTGTGTATATAATATAAAATATTATATACATAGTAAAAATAATATACTGCTTAAGAAACAGTTACTCACATAAGTTTCCCTTTTCTGCTATGCTGTCTGCTTATTTAGGTTAGTTTAGGCACATTTAAGAGGAAGGCTGTGCGAAATGCATTTATTTACTGAGTAGAAACGCTTAGTTACAAAAATGTATGTTTGTTTGTTACCAGAAGTCTGTGCTCTGTCTATCAATGTGACTGTGGCATTTACAATAAATCCAATTTCTTGGTGTAAAATCTAAAGCCTATTTTCTAAGCACTCCGGAGTAGTTGAGTTGCTACTCCTGGCTGCCTATTTTCTAAGCACTCTGGCGTAGTTGAGTGGCTGCTCCTGGCTGTGCCAGAGTTCATAGTTCAGGTTTTTATAATTCTTGACTAAATTCCTTTCTTTAGCTGGAAAGAAAGTTGCCTAGTGCAGTGTGGGGAAAAAAGAGTATTTTTATTGCAATGATTCATAATAGGCAGGTGAGGGTTTTGTGAAAAAAAACCCACCAAAATTAATGCTCCATGCAGCATGACAGAGAAGTGCTATTGAAGGAAATGCAAGGTCTTGAATGCAAGGATCAAATTTCTTAACAGATTTTTTTTTTTCCTAATCTGTGCTCTCTCACCTGTCATTTAATGAAAACCATTTTGTTTAGCGTTCAAGGTCATAGAAAACTAATTGGATGCTAGTGGAAAATAAGTCTTTTTTTCCACCTTTCTGATGGTCTGGAGTGTGATAAGGCTAATGGACAGATGGCAGTTCCTTCACAAGTACTTTTTTTTTTTTTTCTTTTTGAGCTTGAATTGCACAATCGCTGAACATCATAGGTTGTGTCCCAAAGTGCTAAAGCTTCAGTGGAAATGTTGGAATTCTGAGAGATAGTTTGTACAATGGTTGACTTGCAGTTTCACTTCATTTATGTCTGCTTTTCTTCAAAGTGTAACGTAGCAAGACATTTTGGTCATCATATTTCTGCAAAATAGAACTTTATGTACACAAAGCTACGCAATAAACCACAGCTTTCCAGTGGGGGAGAGAATTTGCTAGAGCTTCCATAGTTCTGAGCCAGATAACTTGGTAAATGATCAATCTGCTCCTTGGTGATTCTTTTAAAAAATTGGAAATAGGATACAGATGCATCACATAGTCAGATGATTAACAAACCAGCTTCTTTCTGGCTCTTAAGTATAAAGCCATTTTTCTCACTGAAACTTGGAAAACAAAACAATATTGAAAAAATGAGCTTTTCTAAATTAATCTGCTTTGCTTCTTAAACTAAATTCTTGCACCAGTTCAATTCGAATTTTTTTTGTTCCCACTGGATGGTTTGGCCAACCAGACTTTGGAACTTGGTGTGCCAGGACCCTTTTTGAAGAAATATCACTCAAGCAGTGAAGCCCATCTCCACATGATGTTTTGTTGTAAGTACATAAATCAAATGATGCTTTACTGGAAGAAATTAAGCAGTGCCTGGCATTAAATGACAGCTGAAATGTATTTCTGCTGGGCATTAGGAATTTCACATTGATAATTTAGTTATTAGAGTTTATAGGATATTAATCCAGTTCCATATTTCTCTTAAGTGAGATTCAGGATTATTAGTGAGCTAATTTAAATCTCAAGCTACAAAAGGTGAGGATAGTTTTTGATTTTTAAACAGTATCTAATGCAATGTGGATGCTCTTTAAAAAGTTTAAGATTTGCTCTATAAAGCTAGTTTAAGAGTTAGTTGTTTTATAAAGTTAGTTTTAAACAAGTACAAATGTGTCCTTGTAATGGCTTTAATCTGTTTATCTAAACCCTGTTTCACTGCAGGTATATTTTTGCATGAACAGATAGTGGAAGGTTGATTTCTCTCTCCCTCAATAGAATTTTACTTAAGAAAGCATTCTAGAATTCTACCAAATGTATAATTCTATGATCTGATTGCACAGCTGCCCAAAAATTCCCCATGTAACTGGAATATGTCAGAATGGGCACTGAAAGCAGCAGCTTTTACTGGATAGTCTAATGGGTGCCTAGTGACAGCATTCAGTACATAAACTAAGCTCATGACATATCTTGTTAGGCTCACCTTTTGAGACTGTGCTACCAGTAAATTTCATCCAATTTGAAATTTAAACTGTGCCAGTTTGGTTAAACATTGGCACCTGATAGACCCAAGTGTTGGTTCACCAATACAAACCAAGTGGAAATCCTACCTCCCCCTTCTCTTGTTGCCCACAATGTCTTTAAAATTTGTTTTTCCCCCCTCCTTCCCAAGGTTCCTACTTCTCAAATATTTCATTGTTGACTCTTCTGTTAAACAGTGGATCTTAATTTCTGAAATTCCTTTACCTCAAATAAGTGACAGCATACAGGATTTTCTGAAGACTGAGTCAATTAGGTTAAAACTGTTAATCCCAAGTGGCTTTCTCTTCTTTGTATTTGGCTCTTACTCTGTGAAAATGCTGCTTGTCCATGAATATGATGTATGTTGAGACTGTAAAACCAAATGGAGAAAACTTGTTCAAAATAAAGCCTTTTTTTATAAGAATCTGACAAAAATTATCCCTTTCCTTTAGATTGGATGCCGCTCTCTAAATAACGAATGAGGATTTAGACTAAAGTTTCAAATTCTTAGATCTTAAGCTATTGTTTTAAGCAATTCTTTGCCTTCTGTTTGTCAGAGCTGGTGAAGCAGGTCTTCAGCTAAAATAACCCCAGCCTCTCCATATTTACATGATCCAGTTGAATTTTAAGAGTGCAGCTTGGGGAGTTGGGGGAGTTTAATTTGGGTTCTTTCAATTGATAGAGCTTTTGGTTCGGTTGTTAAGGTTAGGAAGAACCTAACCAATTTCTGTTGTGGTGGTCTGCATAGGACAAGAAAGCTCATTTTTACAGAAGGAATGTGTTTAATTGAAAAAATAGGTAATCAGAGGGGGTCATGACTTCAATTTTAAAGATGATTCCTCCTAGTGTTGCACCATCCAGACTGCAAAATTTTGGATATTAATGATTGTACATCAGCACCTTGAACTGCATCTATTGTTTTTAATACATTAGAAGTGAAATTGTTTTCATGGCAGCTGGGGACGGTGTGGGTAAATAATTTAATTCTCCAGACACTGCTGCACTGAAGATTCCCTAAAAACAGTCTTGGTCAGGAAAAATTCCATCTGAAAAGCAGAACTGAGTTGATGTTTCTTTTTAGCTGGAAAGGAAGTAATGGCTGAGTGGCAGGGCTGTCACAGGAGAGAATAAATTTTGTAGCTGCATTTATCACTTACTGCAAGGCTGAAGCTGAGCTGTGTTACTGTACAGTCTTACCCTGGAGCAAATGGATTTCAATTTTAAAAAATACCAAAATTGCATCCAGATGTCTGTAGAATAAATTAATGTATCTTCACATTGAGTTGATAGATGGTGCTTTCTAAAACCATCCCACAAGTATTTCTGAATTAATCCAATTAGCCTTTTTTTTTTTTTTTTTTTTTTTTTACAAATAATAGAATAATTTGAGTTGGAAGGGATCTTAATACCCATCACGTTCCAACCCCCCCTGCCAAGGGCAGGGACACCTTCCACTAGACCAGGCTGCTGAGAGAGCCCCTTCCAGCCTGGTCTCGAACACTTCCAGGGACGGGGAGTGCACAACTTTTCTGGGCAGCCTGTGTTGCACTGTCAGTAGAGAGAGTATCTTCAAATTGTTTTTATTTTTTTGTGGTTTTCATTGTATTAAATGCACTTGTATGAAAAATGCAGCGTATCTCCTCAGTAGACAGTCCCTCCTTGTCAGCAATGTGCTCATCAGTCAAAACCCCCTGGTCCCCTATTAATCTTGCATGTTTTATTTTTTACAAGATTAGAACGTTAGCAAGAAGATCCATGAGCGAGAGGACAGCACAGTCCCACTCTGCAGTCCTGTGCTTCTTCAGCAACAGAGCTGCTTTAGAAGGTCCCAGTTTCCCTGCTGGTGGTTTCTGCCAGGAGTGGCGTTAATTCAACTGATCTCACGTTCCAACTGTAAATGGGATGTGTGGGGTCGGGTGGAAAGGTGCCACAGCCTGGCTCCGGTAGCCAGCGGCTCGTTGGAGATATCAAAGGCAGGAGGGGCTGGGTGTGCTTATCTCTGACTGTTCAGATGCAAATGCCGACTTCTTGGTGCTCTGATAAGCATCGGGGTCTGATAGTTCTGCATCATTTGTGCTGTTTGGGTGTTGGCTTTCCAGCAGGATTGTTTGTACAGGACAACTGATGGAAGTGGTGGGATGTGAGGGAGGGATGGGCAGCAGCTTGTGTGTGTGATCCAAGTGCCATAACAGCATTCTTCGAGCTGTTCCCACTAGGAGGAGACAATTTCTGTGATCCAGGCGTTCCTTTGGGACAAACCCGTGTGTTACTGACAAAGGTCTGCACAATACTGTTTTCTCAAGCACTGCAGGCCTCTTCCAGCCCTGCACTTCCATAACTGCATGTGTAGTTAAGTCTGGAGGAAAAAAAATCGTTTCTGCTCTGCTTGAGCAGCAACATAAAGTGGGGAGAAATGGAGTCTCCCTGCCTCCTTGTTTTTCAGGGAAAAGCCTTTAGTCTGCCAGGCTGAGGCCTGCTGTGCTTTTGCCAGCACCTGGCTTCATTTCAAGTCTCGCTACCTATTCAGCTGAGTATTGGATGTGTTTCAGATCCTTCTCACTGTCTTCCTGGAGCTGTCTGGGATTCTGGCCAGGCAGAGGGAGGGAGGGAGCTGCTCCCACTGCAGGCTCTGCACCAGCCTGCTCCTGGGCCTGGGAGCTGTGGGAAGAGCCAAAGGGCAGTGACTGCTCCTCCCTGCTCCACCACCCATTTTCCTTGAGTGCTCTGCTCCTGTCCCAGAGAGAAATGAGAGAGAACCTCACGGACAAATCACGCCTGCATCTTCCATCATCCTTCTTCCTTCCTCCTCAGTGAACATGCAACATGTTTGCTTTTGTGTTGTAGGATAAAAGTCTTGGAGAGAGGAGTTGATAAAGGGACTCGAGGCAGGACATGAAGAACTGATTTCTGGACAAAGCACCAGTGGAGAGTGAGCAGCTAGCCCTTACTGCCTTGGGGATTGCATGCAACATTAATTATTGCAGTGCTGGACTGGAGATGGTTGAGGGAAATTCCAATGTCTGACAGACCAAAATCTGACCAAGTAACAGTCTCATTAATGTCTGGGCCACTTTTTCATTCTGCAAGGGTTTGACTCATATTTTTACCCTTTCATCTGACCACAACAAAGAGACATTTAATTGCCTTCCTTGCTCAGTCTCCAAGGAGGCCTTTGGTTTTTTGGACAACCCTGGGATTCTTGAGCTCACGTGTGGTGGCAGCTGTTACACCTCACTGAAAAAATATCTTCAGCAAAGGGAACAGACCTGCAGTGCAGAGCAAGTAGCAAATTACATTTTTTTCTCCGTGTTATACTTTAACTGATTTGAGCAAGGTTTCTGACAGTCTGTTTTCTCTTCTCTGACAACTTCACTTCTTTCAGTCTTTACTCCTGGCCCGTATTTCTCTCGACACCTACTTGTGTTCCCCAGGCCACGTCATTCCAGGTGGGACAAGGCACCTCCCCATGGCACAGGGGTGCTGGGAGTGCCATGTGTCCTGCAGGCTGGATCCCTGTTTGCGTAACCCTGTATGATGTTTGCTTTTTACACAACAGCAGGGCCTTGTTGACTCACATTGAGCCTGCTTGGCACTGTAATCAGCCCTTCCACTCCACACAATTACTGTCCAGGTAATGGCTACTCAAGCAGGTTATTCCTCCTGCCTGGCTGCAAAATTTAGCACTTGCCTTATCAGCCACCTTCTATTTTACCTTCCCTTCTGATTTCTCCAGTCTGCCAAAGATTATTTTGAAATATGATTCTGTCCCAATTTGTGGCTTATCCCATGCAGTTAAAATAAGGAGTGATTATTTTTGGGCTGTGTTTTCCTCTCTTTGCATAAAGATATTTCCATGAAGTTGTGCAACAGGCTTATACTCTCCATTGCCAAAAGGGCTCTGGGTACCACCAAAGCTCCATTGGTTCTTTTGGTGACTTCAGTTGCTGCTCACAAAAAGCCTCCTCCACTTGATCTCCTTCTTCAATGATCTTACCACAACAGCATTTACCTTTTTCTCCCTCTCTCTTTGATCACTGGCTATGCTTCTCCTAAGGGTTCTTCTTCTTGACCTTCAGTCTTCAGCATGTCTACTCATCACTGATATAAGAAACATCATTCTCTGCATCTCAAATAAACAAGCTGTTTATTTCCATGTTAATATTCCAGCTGGTGTCACTTCACTGCTAGGCTGGTCAGATCATAATTTTGCTTTTATACCAACCCTCACTGCAGCTCCTCTTGTCCCTTGTGAGAGAAAGAAACCCAATCATTGCCAGATCTCAGGAAATGGATTAAGTGGCTCTCTTTTTGAAATTGGTGCTGATTTATGGGGGTTATTCTCAAGGCTGTGATGAAGAGTAGTCTGTGTCCCACTGATTTGGCTAAGCCCTAATGGAGCTAATTGGTGGTGTGTATTCATTCCCAGCCACCATGATTGATTTTAATGGCTTTAATGCCAATGGCACAGTGTGGGTTGGTGTTGCTGTGGAGATCTTTTAAATCAGTTTATTATGTATACCAGAACTCCCTTGTAGTGGAGAGGGACTTTCCAGAAGAGCATGTAGTGACAGGACAGTGAGGAATGGCCTTAAACTGGAAGAGAACAGGGTTAGATTGAATATTGGGAAGGAATTGTTCCCTGTGAGGGTGGTGAGGCCCTGGCACAGGCTGTCCAGAGAAGCTGTGAATGCCCCATCCCTGGCAGGGTCCAAGGTCAGGCTGTTTGGGGCTCTGAGCAGCCTGGGAGAGTGGAAGGTGTCCCTGCGTGTGGGAGGTAGGAACTAAGACATTCTTTAAGGTCCCTTCCAACCCAAACCATTCTTCACCTGGCTGCTGCGTTGGTGAAGGAAATTAAATCTTGAGTGCAGAGCTGTGCTGCAATTACAAACCCCTCTAATTTGCCTCACACATTATGTTGGGATAGTTTCCAACACACTTGGCACTGTCACTTGGTCTTACAAGTTTCCTCAGAGGTGTCTGTCTTGCATCTCCCAGGATCTGGCACATCCATCTGTGCTGACTATTCCATGCCTCAACACCCATCTGCCTGAAGTTGCAGTGGTTGCTGCAAGGCTGGCACTTCTTCAGACAGAGCAGCTGACTCAGGGCCTCTTCCCCTGTCCCTCCTGACAGGCACGAAGGGTATGGATATCCCTCCTTGGCTGTGACTGCAGGGTGTCAGTGCTTGCACTCCTTCTGTTCCAAATATTCATGGATTTCTGCATAGCTTGGCCTCGCGTGTGCCCTGGAATCTTGTGGTTCTCTGAGACCCAAATCAAGGGCCAGGCCTTCTTCACATCACCATTTTCACACTCTGCATTGCTCTTGTGCCATCCCATGATTTAGCTGCACCAGATGCAAGCCACAATCTTATTCCACATGTTTTTTCAACTGATGTTTTACCAGTGGGATAATGGTTACTTGTGCAAATGTCACTTTATAGCATATTTCAGATGTAATTAACTAAGCAAACTATGACTTGGAGTAAATAATTGTTCTGTTTAAGAATACTATTTTCTAGTAAACTCTTCTGTAGTAAAATTAGAATATGGAGGCTAAGGCAAAAAGTGCCATTTCAATCAGAAACTGTATTTTGATGATCCTTGTGGGTCCCTTCCAACTCACAATTTTGTGACTCTCTGATTCTGTAATTTGTCATTGATGTGGATGTTTCTCTGCAAGTTGTGAATTTTTTACAATGTAATGAGACAACTGCTTCAGTATCTCTATTTATGGCAAATATAAAATATCCATCTTTTCTCTTGATTTGTTTTTAGTTGCTCAGTGTTTTTCCTGCATTTTTTTCATAAATTTCACCCCACATTCTAGTCATGGTCCATTTTATTACCAGAGAGACAGACCCTTGACTTTTTAATGCTGAAACTGGTCCCTCAGCTTTAGACCAGTCACATCCAGTTGGAAAGTCTTTTCTTTCACTTTTAACACTTGATTAAAACATCCTATTTCTTATTTTTCCTATTTCTACAGCACGCAACGCTCTGCAAATAGCTCTATATACTATATAGTATATGTGCAGATAGAGACATACAGCTTTCTCAACTCCTTCAATGGCCTGAAACACATGGAACACTTCAGGGTGAATCTCATGTCCTAAAATAAACTACCTTGAATTGCTTTTCTCTGTATTGGTACTTTTTATAGATACAGAAGAAATTTCTGCTTGGACTTTCCAGAGCCACAGGCTGTGCTCTTGAGGAACTTGTCTCTGTAAGGCCTTTTGGTATTTTCTGCTTTCATGCAAGGATTTCTGTGGGTTTTTTTTGTTTGGCTTTTTTTTTTTTTTAATTTTCTGCATAATCTAGAGCAACTTCTAAGAATTACTGTGAGATAATTTGCAAGGAGTGTATTAAATTCACCTGAACCCTGTGTTCTACATCATCAACAGTGTGGATGCATCTGTTGTGACACTGAGCTGTTCCCAGGTGAATAACTCATTGTCACATTCTCAGACACCATCAGAATGGCCTCAGAATACATATTAGGAAGAAATTCTTCACTGTGAGGATGGTGAGGATCTGGCACAGGTCTCCTGAAGGCGTGACTGCCCCATCCCTGGAAGTGTCTAGGACCAGGTTGGATGTGGCTCTGACCAATCTGGTCTAGTAGAAGGTGCCCATGGCAGGGTGTTGGAACATGATGGTCATTAAGGTCCCTTCCAACCCAAACCATTCCATGATTGCCAGGCTCCTTGCCCTGAGATGGGCATTTCTAGGGCTACCTGCACCTCTCTCCCCTCTTGCTAGCCTGGGCAATGCCTGCACAACCCCAAGGCGTTTTTAGGGGGAGCACCTGACTGCTGCCCCAGCATGAAGCCTCTCACAGACCCCTCAGATGCAGTGGGTATTTCCCCCCCCCAAACCAGAGAAGCAGCCACTATCACAGGCTGTGCTCAGGAGCCACTGGCAGCCACATGTGTGTCCCCACTATGGCCACTACCCTTGAGGATATGATTAAAACACCTTCAAAGGTTCCATGGCAGAGCCCTTTCTCCAGGGCCACAGGATAAATTAGGATGGAAAACACCTCTGAGATAATCAAGTCCAACCTTTGACTGATCTCCACCATGGCACTGAGTGCCACATCCAGTCTCTTCAGGGACAGTGACTCCACCATGCCCCTTGGCAGCCCATTCCAGTCTAATCACCTGCTCTTTGAAGAACCTCTTCCTAATGTCCAGCCTAAACCTCCCCTCGTGCAGCTTGAGGCCGTTTCATTGTCCTGTTGCTATTTCCCTGGGAGCAGAGTCTCACTCCCACCTGGCTACAACCAGGGAGCTGTAGCGAGTGTTAAGATCCCCTCTGAGACTCCTTTTCTCCAGGATAAGCACTCCCATCTCCCTCCGCCGCTCCTCACAGGCCTCATGCTCCAGACTCTTCACCAGCTCCGCTGCTCTTCTCTGGACATGTTCCATCACCTGAATGTCCTCCCTGAACTGAGGTGACCAGAACTTCACACAGACTCTGGAGGCCCTGTGGATAAACGCTGGGTGTTTCCCCCCGGGTTTCCCTCAGTGACCCGGCCGGACAGCGCGGGACATCGCAGGACATCACCGGAAATCACCGGGCATCGCCAGGAATTGCGGGACATTCCGGGACATCCCCGGACACCGCCGAGCGCTCCTGCCCCGCGCACCGCGCTCCTATTGGCTGCCCCGGAGTGGCCGACGCCCCCGCTCTGACCAATCAGCGCTCGCCGCGCCTCTCCCGCCCCTCTCGGGGGTGGCGGGGCGGGGCCAGGGCGGTGCGCGCGGGGGGCGGGGCCGGCGGCTCGCGGGCTGCTCTTAAACCCCGCGCATCATCCGCACCTTCATCCTCCTCTTCCTCCTCCTCCTCCTCCTCCTCCTCCTCATCATCATCATCATCATCATCACCTCCTCACCGTCACCATCCCCACCATCCCCACGGCGGCCGTGTCCTGGGCAGCGTCCGGATCGCGCGGGTGAGCTGGCGGCCGTGGCGGAGGGTTGGGCGGGTGCCGCCGCATCCCGATGGACGCAGGTTGCATCATCCGCGGGAGCGGGATGTGGGGGGGAGAGAGTGCGGCCTGCCGTGCCCCTCATCCCCGAGGGGATGCAGGATGGAGGGCTGCGGACTGGAGCGGCTTTCCCGCGGCGGCTGCGGAGTCTCCCTGCGTGAAGATATTCCAGAACCGTCTGGATGCGGTCCCGTGCCATGTGCTCCGGCAGGGCTCTGCTTGCGCAGGGACTTTGGAGCAGATGCCGCTCTGTGGTCCCTTCCATCCTGACCCGTTCCGTGGTTCTGTGCCGCTCAGCTGGGATTCCGTCTCGGTTTGGTGGTGCCGGGAAGAGGCAGCCGCGGGTCGGGGGAGCCCCGGAGCCGCCCCGGGCGGTGCTGGCTCTGCTGGATGCCCGGGACGGGCTGGAGGATGCCTGGCAGCGCCTCCTCTGACCTCGGAGCTGAGATGGGCTCTCTGCTTTTTCTACAGGTTCACAAGATGATTTTGTGCCTTTTGGGTTTTCCTTGGGGTTTGGCACTGCCTCTCCAGCTGGTCTTGGCTCATTGCCCATTGTTCTAGTGGGTGCCACGAGGTTCTCCGGCAAGGTTTTTTTGGCAAGTCTGGCTGATGCACTGGACCACAAAGCTTCTTTTTTACATTTGATTTCATATATTACCCCTCCCCAATTGGGAGGGATCTGAACTTCACTAGGACCTGAGGGAGCTGTTCAGTAGCAGTGTTAATAATGCTCTTGGTGTCTTGAGCCAGCCACAACTTGAAAGACGAGTGATTCTTCTGCTCCTGGTTGAGTGTCTAGTCTGCTGTGCATCTCTGTGATCCTAAAGCCTTTGACCATGGAGGTTTTGGAGTGCTGGGCCCCGTTCCAGCAGTGTTGCTCACTCTGTTTACCCTTGCCGGGAGTCTGTTTGCTGATTTGAGGCGTGAGAGCTCCGTGTTCTGCAACGCTTGCACTGTGGGAAGACGGAAAAACACAGAGCATGGAGGCAGGTGAAACGAGGGGATCTTATGTGAGAGAGAAAAAGTATTTCCTGGAAAGCTGAGACCTGCTCAGAACCTGCTGTTTCTCTCCTGTAGTTAGATCTCCACTGATGAAGAGTGGTTTAGATGCCAGTGCCGGCCCAGTGCTGGGGCATTTGCACTCAGCATCCTTTTCCATAGTAGCTGGTGGCTCGTGGTACCCTGCCATACCCTCTGTGTGTGAGTTACTCAGCTTTCCTGAAGCCAGAGCCCGCTTCTAACGAGGCTGGTGGCAGCAGGGTCATGAGTGACCTGTGTCCTGGAGCGTGCAGGCTCAGGGACAACACTGAGCTGGCACTGGCAGCACGGCAGCCTGCCAGGGTGGCTGGCATGGGCTGGCCCCTGGCTACTGCTCTGTGGCCTGCATGTGCACACAGGAACCAGGCACACAGCAGTGCTGTGCTCTTGGCTGCTCTGGGGATCCTGCTGATAACTCCATGGGTGCAGCCAGAGTGGTGGCAGCTGGTCTTTCCCACAAAACATGCGTCAGCCAAAAAGCTTCCTTCCTGCCCAGCTCTCTGCCAGCCTTTATCGGAGGTCCCTGGGCTAACAAAAGTTGTGAAGCCTTCCAGGAGGCACCATAATGCTGGGGAAGAGGTGCTGTGCTTCTGCTTGTGTTACAGACCTGTTCAAAAAGTGAGAGCAGCTCCCTCTTTTTGTCATGCTGGGCAACTTGGTTAATCTTGAGCCTTTGTCACCCTCCCTGGAATCCTCCTCTCCCTGGGCAGATCAAGAGCACTGCTGCAGTGTTGGTCCATCTCTGTGTGCTAAGGAGGGGGAGCTAGAAGTAGGGAAAGAAATACTGAAAGCTTCTAATGCAAGAAGTAAAAACGCAGATAAAGCATTCTCCAGTCTTTTCTCTAATGCTGCTGTGCTCCTGAAGACATCAGTCTTCACTCACAAGATTTATTACATGATTGTGATAGGCAGGGTTGGAGTGAGCTCAGGAAATGGAGCTGTCAGACACCTGTGTGAGGCTGCAGGCACAGCTTCCCTTCTGTCGGGGCACAGCAAACTGAACACTTCCCTGTTCTCCCTGGCTGGTTTCTAGAATAACGATTGCCACAGTGGTGGAAGTTGCTTTGCTGCCAGAGTTTATTCTTTGCAATGTTGTAGAGGTGAGGGCATTAAAGAACTGCCTTTCTTTAGAAATTTGTGAGTGTGCCAGTCTGGCTTTTAAAGAGTGATCATCGAGAAGACATGCATGTGCTCACCTGCTCTGTAGGAGAAAATGGAAATTTTGGATTCTTGAAGGGTCTCTTCCTAAAGCCAGATGTTAATTCATTCCCCTGTTACTTCAGTTCACTTGATATCTCCTGACACAGGAGGGATGGCTGCTCCTGAGGAGGTAGCAAGGATACACACACGCTCACAGAAAAACCACAGCAGCAAAACAACCCAAATGTCTGACTTTCTCCTTAATCTGTTACAGCTATGGTGTTTCCAAAGGCTGGATGGGTACTGCTGCATCAGGTTATCTACGAAGATCCTACAGCTCTTACCACAGTAAGACCCTGTGATACTCAGGCTGAGCAGAACAACTGTTCTGCAGTGGTTTATTTGAACCTGCTTAACATCATCAAGTTTCCCTTTCTCAGGCTGCAGCATGATGGAATTCTGTATCTCATCCCTGAGCAGTCACCCCTGGGGCCATCTCCCTCTGACTCAGCTCTGACACCTGTCTTTTAGACAGCTTCATCTGTGCTCCAGGCCTGACTCCAGTTAATTAATTTGTTTGTTGCACATGGATGTTTAAATAGTACAGTACACTAGTGCTGATACCACACACTGTGCACAGCCATAGGAACTGCAGCTCCTGACTCATCTGTGCACCGAGTTCAGCTCAGGCTGCTCAGGGATTAATTTCACTCACTGGAATTCCTGTTCTCTAGGAGCTGAGAAATAGTTTAGGTCTTGGGTTCCCTGTGGAGATGGATCCAGGGGTGTGAGCCTTGCCCATGAGACTTTCTGGATCTGTTACCTCTGAGTCCCCCTCCCCTTCCTGACTTAGGTTTAAGTGGCTTTGTAAATTATCTTTCTGATTAATTTTTTTTGCCTTGTGTGATCTGCAGATATAATGGCAGGAGCTAGTCAGGCTTTTCTAGTTAGACTCTACCCACATCCCCAGCTAGTTTTGTGAGTGTTCTCCTTTACAGGAAAATTAAATTCAGGCTGACAGAATTTTTTTTCCCTAAAGATGGGCAGCTCTTCTTGCAGCTTATTTCCCTTGGCCTCTGCTGAGCAGTGTTCAGCTGCAGCTACAGAAGCAGAGTTGCCATCCTCCTGTCCTGCCTCCTCAGAAAAAAATATTATTTTGGGCCTGTAGGGAGGATCAGGATGGGGATTTGGATGTCCTAGACCACCTCTGCCCCCTGTTTTGCTGAGGTTGTGTCACCTAGGGCTGTAAGCAATGAATTATGTTGCTTAATTGGTATTTGGTGACAGGATTTTTGCTTAGCTTTTTGTCCCTCTCCTCACTTTTGTTCAGAGTTGAAGCCCCATTATTGAAGCTTTGATCAAACATCAATTATTGTCATTATAAAAATATGAGAGAATCTCACAGCTTATTTGAAGGCAATAAATACAGCCTTTTCTCAGTTTCTGCTGTTCAAGGAGTAATGGGAGTTGCTGTTAGTGACAATATTGCCTTGTGACAAGGGAGGAAATGAGATGCTATTGCCTTGCCCAGTCTGGAGGGAATCCTCCAAAAGGCAGCTTTTTGAGAGCCACATTAATTTCTTTCCTGACATCAGTACTGTAAACCTCTTTAATTTTTTTTTATTGCAATAAATTTCACCCTCTTTCATCTCAGTTTTTGGATACTCTTGAAAGACACTGAGAGCTGGTGTTTTAAAGCCTTTAAAGGTTTTGTGCTCCTATTTTATGATAACTTGGAAGTGGAACAAAATTTGCAGTTTCCTGTCTCTAAACCCTTGCTGCTTTTCTGCATTTTGAAATTATTTGATCCTTTGGCAGCAAGGCCCCCCTTTTTAGCTGGACTTTGTCAATATTGTCAGTGTTACCAGAGGCAGTCACTGTCTGTGTCCTGTGTTTCATGCCAGCAGTCAGAGGGAGCATGTGCCACATAGGAAACCTTGACACTCCTCCAGTATTTTTCCTTTACCAAAAAAAATCCCAGTAATCCTCTGGACTGTGCACCAGAGTATCCTAGAAAGAGAAATGAGGGCTGGGTTTTGTTCTGGAGCTGGAATTAAGCTGATTTCTGGTAGCAAAGATAGGCTGGTGTTAGATTTTGTGTATTTATGGGGTCTTTGATTTTTCAGACTGGTGTCTCTCATTCTAACCCTGCTCAGCAGTCTATGACAGGATAAATCCATCTTGGCTCTTGGGCATGTATTAACCTGATTAAATAGACTTGTATCATTTTGGTGGCATGAAAATCTTTTTATCTTCAAGGAAAATTATTTCAAGTCTTAGTCTGGAATGTTGATCTTTTCAGAGGGCTTTTTTCTTTCCCTGGAGGAGAGCAGTTTAAATGCTTTAGGCATTTTCTTCAAACCATTATACAGGAAGGGCATTGGTGTGCCTGGGGCAGCAGTGGTCAGTGGCCCGTGTTAACTTGCAGGATCAAATACTAAAGGTCACTGATGCTGTGATCCAGATTTTTTTCCAGTTTTCTCACCAGACCATCAACTCTGAAATCTTAAATATGTGTTTTGTGTGCATCTGTCAGAAGGAGGATGAGGCCAGAGACCCTTTTCAGCACAATTCAGTAATGGAAAGAGCTGAACCTTGCTGCAAAACAGTGATGAAGAAAACAAATATTAGGGAAAAAAACCAAACCCTCGTGCTTTCCAAAATTTCAACAATATTTTGTCTTTAATTGATAAGAAGCAGTCAGGCTCTGTGAACAACTGGCAGGAGAAATGAACTTTAGACTATTGTGTATTTACTAATTTCTGGAGCAAAAAGCTGCTAGAAGCATGAACTGTTTGCTGTGTGTGTTATATGCAGCATCACTGTAGCTGTGTATGCAACACTAATTAGTTTTGAGTAGGAACTTGTGAGATTTTGCTCTCCTTGAGGGTGGAGAGGCTTCTGTTCCTGGATAAAGCTTTTTTCAAAGTTGTGTTCAGGGTCTTTTGGGGACAGCACCACGAAGCCCTTTTACCCTTTGTGTCTCTAGGGACTGTATTTCCTGTGAACTGAAGTATTTCCTATTGCTTTTTGTGGCTTTCAAGCTCCTGGAGTTGCAGAAGGTTTGATAAAAATGTTTTGTGCTTGCTTTCTGCTCTGAGCTGTGGTGGATGGGGCAGAGGAAGGATTAGGTAATGCAGGAAGGACAGGGTCAGGGGACCCTCCATCAATCTTGCACAATACCTCTAATGCATGGTTTCTTTTTAATCCTGTTTATAGAAGTCATCTTCACTTTGTTTTGCAGCTTCAATTTTCTCCCTATGAAAAAGGTGTGTGTGTTTTGCCCCTGTGAGAGAGTTTCTTGATTTTTTTTTCCTTCTAACTTGTATGATCTGCAGCTTTGAAGAGGATTCCAGTCTTGTGACCCAGAGCAGTCATTCTTCTGAAGAAAATCCGGTTTCCTGTGCCACCACCCCCACCAGAAACCATGGAGAAGTTTGCATCAGAAAAGCCTGTTCTTGTGTCTAAGGTACTCCCAGGTCTCTGGGGAGCACTGTTTGCCCATCTTTCCATCACCAGGATTTGGGAGAGCCCTGCCTGTTTCCAGGGGGATTTCTAGGTTGTTTTGCTGAAATTCTGTGGAGGCAAGGGATGAATAAATAAAAATAAATAAAATAAACCAAATAGATTAATGCTGGGAGTGCTGGAGAGAAAGTGCAGGCTGGACAAGGGGAGAAACACCCAGTTTTATCAGAATCTCTTTGGCTGGAGAACTTTTCAGGGAAGGGCCAAGACCAAGAAGTTTCAAGGCCAGGTTGGATGGGGCTCTGAGCTCTGTGGAGGAAGGTGCTGTTGAAACTTTTCTGGAAAGTTCCTTATGGCCACCAGTAGCCACTCAGTCTTCTGGCACAGTTTTCTAATTAGTCACCAAGCAGTCTTACTGTATTCCAGTCTGCTTGGAATGGGGAGGTTTTATTTCAGAGAGCTTTTGGTATGGGAGAGGTGTCTCCCATGAGAATAGTTCTGTTTTTTTGGGGTTTTTTTTGTATCTGTGGAGGCTTGTTACAGTGAGCACATGTGTTTAAATAATCTTTGTGCAGAGCACTGTGGTGAGCTTTTGCTCCCAAACTTGCAGTGCAAGATTCTCATGTTGGTGATAAGGATTTGGCACATTAAGATGATGCTGAAACACTTCCCCACTTCCCCATCCTCACAGTGCTGTGGAAACATCAACTCCTTTTTTTTCTTTCTTTTTTCTTTCTTTTCTCTTCCTTCTCCCTCCCCCAAGAATGAAATCCCTACTGTTCCTTCCCAGAAGAAGCCTGATACAAACTCATGCCCTCATGCACCTGCTAAGTGTTTAAGCTCTGGTGGGGTGAACACTGAGAACTGCAAGGCTAATGAGAAGGAAAGGCAGTGGATCCGCCCTGATACACCCAGCAAATGCACCTGGAAGCTTGGGAAACCCCTCTCTGCCTCCCCCCATCATCATACCACCCTGTAAGTGTTACCTTACTTGCTGATTTTCAGCACAAATCCAGGTCTGATTAATCCACGTTTTGGATCAAGGACCTGATGTTGGGAGTTTGTATCCAATGGATATTCCTTTGAACTAAGATAGCTAAAATAACCAACCTGATAAAGGAGAAGGAGAAAGCTGGTTGAAATAAGAAGCAATAAATGGTTGTTGTGTGAATGCACTGACTTTGTTTGTGTTTGTACCAGGCCAGAGCCTCCGAAGATCCTGCCAAGCATCCTGAATAAAGTTGGCAATACACCTATGGTGCGGATCAACAAGATTGGGAAGCACTTTGGGCTCAAGTGTGAACTCTGTGAGTTGCTGCAGGCAGAGAACAAACTAACAAACACTGTTTCAGAAACTTGAGTAGCTCGGGTTAGTAGTGTCATATAGCCTGGCCACAGGAGTGCAGGTAATTGGCAGGAAATGGTGAGGAAAAAATCCTGGTTTTCCTTGGCAGGTTTTTGGGTTTCTAGGATTTGGTCGTCTTAAACATCTTTCAATTTATACCTCATGAGAATGGTTCCTACAGCTTTTCCTTTTCTGTAGAAATCAAAAGATGTTTTTTGTAGAAAATAATTCTTTTAATTTAAAGAAGTTGCATAAAATTTTTGACTGCTTCTCCTATTCAGAGTATTCATCAGTGTGCAAAATGCAGCTCTGCAGTTATCACTAAAGATCTCTGAAAATGATTAAAGGGGTAAAACAGTCAGTGAATTTGGGTTTTTTTTGGTTGGTTGTGTTTTTAAACCCAGCCAAACTGTAGATATTAGGAGGCTCTGATCAGAGTCCTGAAAGGTGGTGAAGGGATTAATGCTGGCAGTGCTGGAGTGAAAGTGCAGGCTGAGCATGGGGAGAAACTTCAGCTTGATCAGAACTTTTTTTTTTTTGTCAGAGAGCTTACCAGGAAATGGGCAAGACCACATTTTAAGGCCAGGTTGGACAGGGCTTGGAGCAACCAGTTCTGGTGGAAGGTGTCCCTGCCCAGGGGATGGAGCTGGATGAGCTTTGGAATCCCTTGCATTCTGCTGGTTGTGTGTTTGCAGTGGCCAAGTGTGAGTTCTTCAATGCTGGGGGCAGCGTCAAGGACCGCATCAGCCTCAGGATGGTGGAGGATGCTGAGAGGGCTGGGATCCTGAAACCTGGGGACACCATCATAGAGCCAACCTCTGGCAACACAGGTAGGGATGGAGAGACTGAGGAAAAGCAGGGGGGAAATGCTGTGGTGGTTTTCCTGGAGATGGCAGCCTGTACAAGGAAGAAAGGGAATTTCTTCCTGCCCGTGTGGGTGCAGGGTGCAGTGCCTCTTCCATCTCACACAAGGAACAATTCTGCAGTGCCCTGTGCTGACCAGAGCAGGTGGGAAGGAGTTCTGCTAAATTGCAGAGCCTCTTTGCTTCAAAAGAAAAGAAGTGCTAGGCCAGACTCACAAGAGTCCTTAGGAATTCAACTCTGAATTATTGTGGAAAAAAGCACCCATAAGACTGGTGTGAATCTGGATCTTCCCCTTCTTTCTGTTGGGGAAGTCCCATGGCTCGTCTGTCAGGTTTGAGGAACAGCCCTTTCCATGCTGATGCAGTTGAGATGGAGATGAGCTGCATCCTTGCAGCACTGCCTGACAGAGCTCCTGCACTCCTGGACTGTCAGCAGATACCATCTGGATCCACATTTCCTCCTCAGAGGGCTGGAGGAAGGAACAGTCCCCCTAAATCAGCGGCCAGGGCAGAGCCCTGAGCAGTCTGGAGAGGACTCTGGGCTCCTCTGTCAGAGCTATTGTAATTGTGTTAAGCTCACTCATGGGGAGTCAAACACACCTGGAATATTTCCCTTTGAGTCAAATATAAAATACAGAATATAGTTAAATGGAAATAGTTAAATATCTAACGCAGTGCCTCCTCTGAGGAGGCTCATGGGGTGAGTTGCAAGCTGCCCTCCTGCCTGATGTGTTCAGGAGAGGTGTCTGGTCCTGTTCCTAAACTCTTCTCTGGATTTCCACCCCCTGCTGCTTTCTGACAGACACAGACCAGGCAGATCTTTATTTGATGTTACTGGAGGGACTGGGGGGATGAGCTGATCTGGGACCAGGTCCCCAACCTGCAGCAAAACTGGGAAGTCAAATCTGTTGCTGTTTGCTCAGCAGCTGCTCTGGGTGGGGGTCGGGGGGCTCTGGGGCATTCAGGGCAGCTGAAGCCTTTGTGAGTGTGGCTGTACCTCCTGCCTGAACAATGGCATGGAGTGGAAAATATCCTCGTGTGTTGCATTCCTCCAGTATCCAAGGTCTTACCGTGACACCCCTCTCTCTGGGTCAGTACCTGATAAATGATTCTCCTTGCCACAGAATCCAAAAAGGCAGAACTGAAGGAGATACAGGACAATAACTTCAGAAAGTTGATTTTTTTGTCACATAAGAGCAAAGACCAGGGCACACAGTAACCCGAGTGAATTGGTTTTTGCTCTCTACTGCTCAGAGCTACTGAATATGTTGAATGTGAGAGCTAATGTGTTATATTTTTATCCTCTCTGCATCCCAGTTCTCCCTCAGCCAAAGTCCTGTTTTGATGTTTGCTGCATTTCCAGATCAGTAGCAGAAAGTACAAAGTATTAGAGTTCGTCTCAAAATCCTTTTTTCATCACTGACCATAAAGATCTGGGTAACTTCTCTTCAGCTTTTGGCTTTAATGAGGCTGCTGCTGCCTTATTTACTTGTGTATTTGGGCATCCATATTTATCTATAATATACTGAGAAAACTTTCCCTTCCCAATATATTAAACACTACTTGAGTTGTTTGAAGTGTGAGTTATACTTCTCTTACAAGAACAGCTAAAGATTATTGGGGTGGGGAGTGTTTTCTCACCTATGCAATCCACACAAAACCAGAGCCAGCTCTGAAGAAGCAGGTCCCTGTGCAGAGTGAGCTGCATATGTTGGTCCTGTGCTGGTGCCCAGAAGAGCAGGGGAGCTGCAACCTGACCTCTCACACCTCTCAGCCACCCTGATCAGCTCAGCCTGTCCAGCAGAGAGATGATCTGATAGCAGGTGTGAGCTTCTCTTCCACAGGGACAGCACTTCTGAGCTCAGCTCTTCAGGTGCAGGCAGGAATCAGGCTGGAGGTCCAGACTTTCACAGTAGAAATGAGATGTCTGTCCCCAGCAGCCAGGGTGCTTCACTGTGGTAGCAAGCTGACACAGTGTATTAGAACCTCAATCACCAACAGCATCTAAATAATTTATTTTCAGACAGGACTTAGTTTCAGCACATTGCAAACAGGGATTTATGCAGAAGTGAGTCAGTGGAGGCTCTACAGACCTTTTGGCAGAATCGAAGTGATTCCTTTGGTCTCCTCCGGCTTAAAGCACATTCCTTCCCCAAATTACTTCTGGAAAAATGAGGTGGGTGAGGCAGGAGGAGGCTGATGTGCATGTGGTAAAGGCAGCAGTTTGCACACATCAAGTTTCCCCACCCTTGCCTAAACTTTCTCTGGGCTGTGAACCTCAAACAAGTATGAGCATCTGTAAACCCAACAGGCAGAAGCCTTCCCTTTGCCACCCCTCTGGAGACACTCCACTCAAGCCTCTGGTGAAAAATCTGATGAAAGCCAGGGCGTGCCAGAGCTGGCACTGTGGGTTTGGTGCTGCTCACTGAGTGCTCTGCTTGCCTTTGCTTGCTTGCAGGGATCGGGCTGGCCCTGGCGGCGGCAGTGAAGGGTTACCGCTGCATCATCGTCATGCCGGAGAAAATGAGCATGGAGAAGGTCAGAGCTGCCTCTCTTTTCAACAATTTAAAGATAAACGTGTTTGCACTCGCAGAGTTCCTGGTGCAGACGAGTGCTGGGGCTTCAGCAGCAAAGGTGCAGGCTCTTGGTCAGGGAAAACTCTGCTGGGGTGCTGTTGCCAGTGCCCAGAGAAATCCAGGCTGGCTGGCCATGGGTAGAAAATGTC